AATGTCCTTCTATGGTTTTCATTGATTACTTTTATTATTACTTTTTTTTAATAAAAAGAGGTGATCTAAATAGTCCAACCTTTAGAAATTTGTAGTATAAGGTATTTTAAGCTGTTCAAGTAGTTTCATGGGAGTTAAAATACCATGAACAAGTGATTGAAGAACCTTAAGTTATCCTTGGTTGAAATGAATTATTATTTCTTGATCAATTTAAATTCAATAGCCTTATTAATTGAGAAATAGAAACTTATCAATATCGAGTAATAGGGATTCTTAACCCATAACTAAGTTTCTTAATTAATTTTGTCTTAATTTTAAGATTTGATTAAGGAATAAATAAATAAATAAAACTGAACATAACAAGGGAGAGGCGTTTACTACTATAGAAAATGAAGACAATACATATTTAATCAAGCACCACAACCTTACAAGTAGAACTAATATTCAAGCTGCAAAGGATAACAGAGATAGATACATGATGTGTCTCACTCACTCTTAGTTCAGCTGTAGATGGTACTACTATAGCAAACTAGTAATTTTATTTTCACCAAAAAAAAAAAAAGACTAGTAATTTTATGTCTAATAAAGGCTATATTTAATTGCTATTTCTGATTTTAATTTTGTTTTCATTCTTTTATATTTAGTGACTAATACTATATACTTAGAAGTTCGAATTACTTCATATAGTATTAACTACTAAATATAAAAAAAACAAAAACAAAAACAAAAAATAAAACCAGAAACACCAACCATACTAAACAGAAAGTTGACAAAGCCTATAATTGTAAGGTTTTACTTGATTTGCCTATATTCCTTATCCTTGACGAAAAGGCCAACCACCAAAATTGCTTTTGTTTGTCCTGGCTGCTGCTGGGGGCACCTGATATGAATTCCGCCTGCCGCTGAAGACATCATCTTTTGTTTTAAATGGCACCTGATTTGCATGATTTGCTCTAGCAACATGGTGTACCTGGTAAACATGATCTGACGAGGAATTGATGATAATAACAGGCTCCAGTAAAAGTGTGCGAGTTGGAGGTCTCAAATAATGAAAGTTTTGATTCTGGAACTGAACATGGTACTGATCTTCATATTCAGGGTACCTGGTAGTAGTAGTCCACCCCATGATGGGACCGAGACCTGCTTCTGTGTGCTGATGATGCCCAGGAAAGTATTGATCTAGTAGTGAGAAGTCTTGTGCAGCCTTGTGAAGGTTATCTTTCTGAGATTTCATGGTAGTGTTTGGGATTCTATGTGTAGAAATGATCGAATGTGTGTTTTGTTTTAGCTAGAGGGGCAAAGCCACGTATATATATAGTCAGGCAAAGCTATTTACAGTGAACCATGTGCTAAATTCAGATTCCCCACTTCAAAAAGGGTGGGTGCGTGGGTTTCATAAACAACTCAGTCATTTTAAGTTATTCCTTTCGTATCGACAAGATAATTACGATTAAAGTTGGAGGTCCGGTCACGCATGTGCGAGGCAGCTCTAGATGCGAGGTAGTTCTAGAGGGTGGCTCAAGGCGTAACTCAAGGTTTAAGGCTGTTTAGAATGTGTGACTGGGGTCTAACATGGCTGGGGGTAACCTGAGGGATCCAGAGGGCTTTGTATGTGACTCAAGACCAAGTGACACGGAAATTTGTGATTGTGACTCCGAAAATTTGAAGATTTTTTTCATTATGAACCAGACAAAAATTTTTTTATAAAAATTTTTCAAACAAAAAACTGAAAAAGATATTTTTTCCACTCACAAGAAGTTATTTTCTTGGAAGCAAACGTCTGATCATCCATAAGTGTTCATTGTTAAATTTATTGGTGAGCAAAACACTGTTTAATATGGTTATGATTTTGAATTTTATAAATTTTGTAATTATTAAAAATTTAAAATTAAATTCTACCAAAAAAAATTAAAAATATAAATTATTTATAAATTTTAATGTTGACAATTAAATTATTTACTTATTTAATAATATTAAAATTATTTTTATTTTTATTTTTCTAATAATTATAGTAATATATTGCGGAAACATATGTGAAAGTAAACAAATTTTTTTATTTAGAATTGTAAAATTTAAAAAACCAAAAATTTCAAACTACAATTATCCTAAACAAAGTATAAATGTCATAAGTCTTCAAGTTTTAGGGTTAACACCAAAATAAATTTAATTTCATATTAACTAAAAACTAAACTTTATTCTATCTGCCCCACAATTTTGGGGCAAGGAGCTATATATATCTGATCTCCTCTTTTTCTTTGATATTTTATGATTCCATTCAGGATAAAAAGGGATCTTTGTGAGCCGAATATCTGATCTCATCTTCCTTTCGTCATTTCTTTAATGTTTGAGGTTGTGTTGTTCATAAAAATTATCACTAGATTATTTTACTTTTAAATTTGTTAATTTATTTCATAGAAATTATTACTAAAAGATTTAAATTATAATGTTTTAATATGGAGATATACTTATAATCTCTTTAATCTTTCATTTAATAAAATATCTATATTATATCCAAAAAAGAAAAACATTATTAAAGAGTGAGTCAAATAATTAAATGAGAAATTAA